AGAATGGATGCAAGACTCACTGTGGACAAAAGTGTAACTTATGCTGACTTCTCTGCTGTTGAGGTGTTCCATCTGTGTGGAGCTGCCACTATGTATAAGCAAAGGAAAGGAACAGCTGCGATTATCTCCAGGCTGCCCTAGAAGGCACTAGTGCCTTAAATGCTGTCCCTTCCTTGCCTGCGAATTCTTGTGTATCCTTATGAGCTTTAGTTTCTTCAAAGCCAGATATTCCTAGCAAGGTAAGATTACCTTGGAAGAAGAAGTATCTTGTTATGGAGATAGCATTCTCATAAAGGCACAGAACTAAATCTGTAGAAAAATTAAATTATGTTATTTATTAAAAATAATAATAAAGATTTAATTAAATATGAATTAAATGTTCTGAATAATAAATATTATTCATGAGGTTTGGCTGTCCAATGAAATAATTAGTTTTTATTTTTCACATTTCATTTTGAGAAATAGTTTACATGTTTAATTTCTGTTAGTTTCACTTGGAACTAAAAATACTTAGCATGTTTCCAAACCAGATCTCTGAACTGCAAGAGTTCCAATAACTGCAAATACAGACTCAGTACCATGCAGAAAAGTTTAAAATATGTTATCTAGGGTCCTTGGGCTAGCAAGAGCGTAATCTTCCTTTTTCTTTTATGCAGGTTCCCTACTTCATTCAGTGCACATCTTTAAGTTTCTCTTGCAAGGCCAAAAGGTTTATGCAAGCAATAGTCTCTTGACCCTACTTAACTACCAGAGCCACCTATCCTACACTTCCATAGTCAAAGAGCTTGAGGTCATCTGCTTCTCCAGATAAACTACTAAGTATTGATTCTGACAGACTTGCCCAATCCTAGTTGTAAAGATTCCAGCGACTGAGTTTCAATGAGTTTCTCAAGCGATATTTTAATACTTCACTATCCTTTTTCCTAGTCTTCCTAGTATCTAAGCTGAAACATTTTTTGGGTGGCAGTGTAAGCCAATTGTCTCTTGTAGCATTCATTGTGAAAGAAGGCGTTGTGAATGCCTTTCAGAAACCCCTTGCATATTTGACAGCAGTTGTGCGAACGCTCTTTCCTAAAGGCTAAACATCCCCACTTCTTCAGTCTCTCTTTAGGGATTGTATTTTCCAGACATTTCAACATGCATTTTACTCTTTTTTTGGACTCTTTCCAATTAGTTCATGTCTTGCTTGCAACACTGTCTCAAGTGCACTATTTTAAGCACTGCCAGGGCTACCTGGAATTATTTTACATGTCTTGTAGGTTGGGGTCCTCTTTATACATCCTGTTATGGCACTTTGCATTCAGATTGGGCAATTGTTGACAGACAAACACACACAACTCCTTCTTTTTTTTTTTTTTTTTTCCCAAACATTTTCACCTTTTTTTTCATTCTTTTACCCTGGAAACTTTTTTTAATTCCTTCTGGTGGGAAATCGGGCTCTTTGAACATGCAGAATATAGACATCAGTTTCCAGGTCTTGACAGGTAGCAACTTTTGAATGGAAAATGACAGCATTTAATGAAATATGTTACTGTCATGTAATCGTTCCAACTCTATAACAGCGGTTAAAAGAACAGAACTCATGTATGCCAAGATAACATACACTGTAGTAATTGCTACAGAAATATAACTATTCTCATCTTCACTGGAATAAGGGTAAAGCTGCATGAGTCATATCTAAAGATGACATATATTCTTTGATGTACTTCCCACAGATTTTAATTGCCTGTCTCTAGCTCACTAAACAACTACTTAGAGCAAATGTTGGAAAATGTTTGGTCCATTTCAAACTGAACAAGTTTTTAAGTAGGCAGAGTATAAGTACACAAATTGGGTTTCTGTGGGGAGCTTGACAATACAAAAATAAGGAACTTTTCATCCTGAAATATATTGCCAAGAGGCTCTGACATGGTAGATATTCTTTGTCTATATTATTATTTCATTTTAAGCACTATGAAGTACATAGCTCTGAAGTCAAAACTGCCTGTTCTTCTCCATTAAAACAAAATATGCAAGAATTCAAATAGCTGAGACTTCTCAGAACTCCATGATGAAACTCCATGTAGAAAGCTGGTATGTTAAAAGAAAGAGAGAATCAAGATCAGTAGATGAAAAGCTAGAAATACATAATCACAAGCGAAATGGTATTTTTCACAATTATGTATAATAAAAAATGTATTAAAGGAATTGGGGTGAAAGTAGAACAAGCAATTAACAGAACTTACAAAATCAAGATAAATAAGGACTAATATGAAATCCAACAGATAAGTTATATGAAAATACCATGATTCTTTTTTCCTCTGTATAAAAAGTCAGCAATAAAGGCAAACAAATTATAGTTATTTTATTGTTTACCAAACATTATAGTTAATAGCTTAGCTTATGTATTTCTCTGCCATTTGGAGTACTCAAATACTGCTTTTCCCATAAGGAATAATTTTGTCACTGTTCCTACCCTTTCCTCTCCTGCACACAAACACTTTTCATCATATCCTCATATTCTGCATTCCACAAATTCGTTTTTTCTGTGGAGTTTTTCAGGTATGTTAATTGCTTTGCTATCAATTTCTTTGAGACTACTGTGGGAAACCTGACCAGCTTTTCTTTGGATGAGCTGCCTTTGCAGCTTCCCAGTGCACTGAATATGGGGAACAAGAACACCAGGTTTGAACCAGAATTATCTTCCCCCTGCCGTGAGCAAACTCTGAACAGCTAATGGACTCCTTTTGGACTCATGCAAGCACCATATTTTTGCTATCTCATCTGAGAGGTGAAATCCAGCTCTGCTGCCTGTCCATAAATGGAATTTAATGAGTGTAAAATTTCCAGCATAGCTGTGGATGGGAATACTGGTTTGGAAGTGTGTGCTGATTTCACACTCCCTAACTCAGGTAACGGTGCCTGTGTCAGGCATCGAGTAAAGTGTTTCTTAGGACTTAAGAGGGCAATGTTACCTGCAAATGCAATTGGATAGATACCTTTAAGGAAAAATAAATGCAAGGGGCTAAACTCACACCTCATACCGATTATGTTAGCTTTGAAGTGTTATACTACTTTTTTCATCAATATTTGAATGAAATAAAATAGAAGTACTAAAAATAATTTCTCAAGAAAAAGTTTTTAAAAGTCTTCAAAATAAAAATATTCCTGCATTTTACACTCTTCATATTCTCATTCACAGTTTACCAAATCTGAAATGTGTTTATATGTTCAGTTTTAAATGATGGTCCTGTTCAGGACTCCCAACAGGGCTACTCAAAGTCTAAAGCATTGGTTTGACTTCTTAATCTAAAATTCTCTTTTCTTACGAAATGGGAGATCTCTCTCCTCAATAGATACATGTATTACATTCTGACTATGTTCCATGATGCCAATGTTGAAAATGCCTCCTATCTGAAGGATATCTGTTGGGCTTCATGACTGACATGAGCAGCCAGGGCAGTTGTGCAGGGGCACAAAGAGTAGATGTTCTCCCATAGTTGACTCGGTTGTGCAGGTTCCTGTGAGGAGGGCAGATCTGCTTGTTTTGCTTCAATTTTCTGCCCCTTTGAGACAAAGTGATGGTTTTATGTGAAAATTTGAGGTTTTTATTTTCCTCCCCTAGTATGTTGTCTCTTTGGTACTGAGTGGTGCAAAGGAGACTATTTCAATATGATGATAAACTTTACCTTGTGCTAGCTGAAGAACTGCATGACAGTGCTGTGACAGGGTTAGACATGGGTATGAAAGGAGGATAAATTTCTGTAAATATACATGGATGAGGTGATTTTAGGCACTTAAATTAGTATACTAGTAAAAACCACGAGTCCGCCAGTGTAATTTCTGAATAGGCTCTTTTATTTTTGATAACTACAATGTGTACACCCACCCCTTACTCTTTAGGAGAGAGGAAGACTCAGAGTGCTGTTTGAAGATCAACTTCAGGGTTCTCCAGAAATCCTGATGGTGTATAATGAAGTTATATTAAACCAGAATTAGATAGTCAAATAGGCAATGAATCAGAGGATGTCAGGCCGAAGTTCTGATGAGATTTTTTTCTGAAGTTGTGTGGTGCATAACAAATCACTTTCACATTATTGTCACTTTGATTTTCTCAGTCCTCATTTTTTTTTTATTTTAGGTCCTTAACCTGACAAATGGGACATCTTTCATCCATTGTTTAGGAAAAGTGTTCTCCATAATCACCTTCCTGCTTTCATGTTCTATAAAAACTATCTCTAGGCTCATAAGTTTTTCCTCTTATGTTGTTTTGGTTTGTATTTTTGGTGCGATCACACTAGTAAAAAGTTTTTAAGCTAGATCTGTACCCTAATGCCAAGAAAAATTCTGTGAAGACAAGTACAGGCAAGGCTTACAATACTGATATTTTCTATGTATGTAATCTTTGACAGTGTATTTTCAAGTCCTGGAACAATAATTCCATTGCTTCCTAATGCTTATTTAATCTTTATATGGTTTCTGAATTGAAGATATAAATATACAGATCAGAACCAGGCAAATTAATCTGTTTCTGTATCGGAGAAGGTGTGGAACTGCGTCAGCTATAGTTTTCTTGCTTTCTATTTTTTTAAAATAGCTTTTTATCAGTTTACAATTATCTTAAAAGTATAAATTAAGCATTAAAACGTACAGTAAATTCCTATTAACTGATTCCTGTCACTAGTAAATATTGATGCTTTGTTTATTGCTCACATAATGTAAATAAACCCAATGCAGTCTGATTCCATGTCATATGCATACTCAAATCAGTCTAACAATGCAAATGTATGCATACTCAAATTAATCCTAAAACTGCAGCCAAATTAGGGAACAAGAACTTCTTACCTTCATCCCATTGGATTCCTTCTCTTAGTACAAAGGTAGTGTATGCTGCAGAACTTTTTCCTAGTATATTTGTAAAGATTTAAGCACCTTATGAAAGAGTCCTTCAAAATACTTAATGAGCTATAATTTATAATATAGAATCTGTTTGTTAACAATAACCATTTTCTCTCCTACAGTGCAAATTGGACTATCAAGCCTGTGTCTCAGGAAAAATGATCTCAGTGAAATGTGAAGGACGTTGCCCTTGCCCTTCTGACAAATCCACAAATACAGGCAGAAATGATAGGAGAGGTGAGTGATGGTAATTTGTATAGCAACTTTAATAGATTGTTCCTAAAAGGAATTAAAATTTTGTTCATAAAGGAATCCAGTCATCACAAACACCGATTATGCTTGAATAAAACCAGTTTTATTTTATTCACGAGTTGTTTCCTTTGCAGCAGCTTTTGAAAATGTGCCTCCAGTAATGCACCACTGTGTTTTTCAAGCTATTTGAGTATGAGTCATTGCTCTCCCATTATTATTCTTTGATACTTCTCAAGATGTGTATGGCTGTACTTAAGACATAGAAAAATGTATTCTTTGCTCTTCAGTGTTTTCGATTTAACATGCAGGAAAAAGAAGGGTGATGAAAAAAGAGAACTTAAAAAAAATTTATTGCTGCTAATTGGAGTAGCAGTTGCACTTTAGCTATGGAACTATAAGTAGAGGCTGTCATAGAAAAGCCAGCTTGTCTCTGAGCAGTGGATAGAAATAAATTAGCTTCTTTTTGGACAATGAGTAATGTGTGAGATTAGGCTCCCGGAAAATGTAGTCACCCTTCACTTCTTCGTAGCAAGTGGTACAGTTGGAAGAAAAGCATATTTATATTTCAGTGAGTCCCAGGTGAGTTTGGAAGGTTGTTGTTAAGCAGAACAACCAGATTGCTTCTTCAGGGCTGCTGAATGGATAAATAGTCATTGTCGTATGGGGGTCTAGAGGATCTTTATTGTATGAACCTGAGTTTGACAAAACCAGCATGACTGAGCTCTACATTTTGTGTCCCTTTCAACTGTACTTTCCATGCCTTTTCTTCTGCTTTCTGCAAAATTACACCTGTGAATACCAAACCTAAAACTTCATTGTCAACTATTCTTATCCACACTCAAAACACACTAGAATTTGTTGTTGAAGATTCTTCTTCTTCTTCTTCTTCTTCTATAACAAGATAAAAGAAACTAGCACATACACTCCTGGCTTACATTAAGTTAATATTTTATTATGCTAATTTTATTATGCTAATCTATTAAATTTCATGCAGTATTCTATAGTTATTGTGGAAGGGAGTCCTTATATTTTCCATTATAAACTGTAGGAGCTGCCAAAACCTTTTTTCTTCTAGATTAAAAAAATGAATCAAGTAATTTTGAACAATGAGATCAGGAAATCACTATAAACATCCATCATGTGCAGGAATACAACACAATTAAAAGATTGCTCTGAAAAAAAAGTAAGCAGTAATTTACAATCTCATATAGTAGCTGTAATTTTAGATTGAAGGAAAAAAAAAGTCACCTATTTGTTACTAGCCCAAATGAAAAACAGAATGGAAGAGCCAGCTTGCATAGTTGATGCAGCAGCTTTGATAAGAGAACAGCACTAATGCAGCTGCAGTTATCACTAGTTATCTTGCAGCTGCAGTGCATGTGTGGGGGTTGCTTAACAGTAAACATGAACTGAAATTATGAGAATCGTCTGAGAAACATTTCTGTGTACAGCAGGCCTGTTATTCACCAGTATTCTTTTTTTTATGTGGCATCACCCTCAACTTTTAGCAAAATAAAACAAAAATAGGATTTTCTCTGCTGGAAGCTGTTTCATCTGATACACTTTTTTTTTTCATCCCAGTGTGTGTGTTTTCAAGCACAGACTATTTCTAATGTAAACATTGACAACAATCTATAGATAAATTTCATTGGTTTCAACCAAATGGAATGGTTTTTAATTAATATTCCTAGGAATGAACTGTTCCTGAAGATTTATACTGCCGGGGGATCAAGATTACTTGTGCTTAGTTATGTAAAAGACAAGGAAAAAAGTGCCTGTATGAGCATGGGAATTAACTGTTGAGATTAGAGCTTTTGCCCTACTTGATTTCATTTTACATAGACACTCGCAGGGGCCCATCGTGATGTTGCTTAGGCATCAGCTTCACTTTTGAGGAGACATTTCTGGAAGGTCAAGCAGAAAGATGTGCCAGTTCCGGCTGTGCCGCTGCTCACAGTTATCACTCTCAGATATTAGTGGCCAGGGCATCTCTCTGGTGTCCAACATCTCCCACCACTTCCAGGGATCTTTCTTCCATCCAGGGTCTTCATCATCTTCATCCAGGGCCACCTTTGCAAAACCGTCCTCTTCTTTCCAGGATGCATCCTTGCGGCCCCCAGCTCCCTGCTTTCCCCATGCTCATGGATGTGCAGAAGCACAGAGCATCACCAGCCTCCTAACCAGGAGGTGACTCTCATGTCACCAGTAAAGGGGACACTCAGGCCAGGCCACTTCTGCTTCCTCCAGGCATTACCCAAACCTACAAGAGGGCCCTACAAGTAGCAATTAACAGGCACGAGGCTTCCAAAGTTCAATTCCAGACATACAACCACACACAGACACCTGCTGCCTGTCAGCCATTTAAACTGTTTTTTCACCTACCACTACAACACATTTATTTGAAGTTGCAGTGACATTTATTCTCTAATGTGCAATTCAGCAAATTCCATCTACTCTTTTGCTTATTTGCACTGTATTACAAAGCTTTTGGCAACTGGCTATTTTGACTTAGCTTAAATCCTGTTTCCATTCTGTCAAGCTGAGATTAAAATATTAACAGCAAATTTTCTTCAGGAAAAATTAAATGAGTTAATAACTGACTGATAGAGGTGGAAGAGATAATGCTTTTCTACCAGAGTGTTTTCTTATCTTAGTAATGAATTTTATATTATTTATTAACCTGTTTCCTAAAAATAAAAGAACTTTTAGAATCAAGATACTATTTTACTACTAAAGTTTTTATTCTTTGTAACTTTACTGTTTTTAACTCATTCTGGGTTTTCAGTCATATTTTTTCCCAGCGAATCTTAAGTAAATTCCGAGTTGGTTTCTTTATAGTTTCCAAGTCAGTATCCAAGTCAATACAGAAATGTGTTTGATTTCCAATTCTGAAGCCTATGAATAGTCCTGCAAATGGACAGATTTGTGTAACATAAATATATATTGCTAAGATCACGTTCCTTAAGGAAAATATAAATTTGAGTTGTAGCATTTATTGAAGGGATTGGGGAGGAGAATAGTAATAAATTCAATAAGAAGGATTTGATATACGGATTTTACTATCATGTTTACTAAAAGAAAAACAAAACAAAACAAATAAACAAAGACCAAAACCAAAAAAAAAAACCGCCCTTAATTTTGTAATTCTAGGTTGTCAACTATGGGTAGAAAAAAACAATTACCAAAAACCGAACAAGCTATAGTGACAAACGAAGTTTCTGCCTAGCATGGATAATGACAGGTTTCAGGGCACAATATTGTATTTAAAGCACTTCTTATCTTGACTGTATGAACTTCTTTTGTTGTTAATGCACATCATTAGTGATCATTGCAATTGCCTAATAATCTTAAGGAAGACCTTGGCAAGATCCCAAAATCATTTATTCTCTCTTTCCAATTTATTAAATGTTGCTTTTGTTATTTTGATCTTTTTAATGAAATGCGAAATATATCTCTTTATAATAGTACACACATTCTCACTAGGGTACTCATTCTCGATGGTTCTCAATCCATTTACTGAACAATAGGAAATGACATATTGACTTGAAACCTGTTCCTTTTTTTTAATGTATCTTTTCAGTTGTTCCTCATTTGAAGGATAACACATGTTGCTGCACAACTTGTATTATATGCAATGTGGTTTAGAAGTTGTTGTGAAGTGGCTCAGTGAACAAAGATGTGCTTAGCAGTGTGCTTTTAACAAAAACCTCTGGATGTGTAGTGGAAAGTTCTGGTTTTGATTTTTCTCTTTCATTCTGCAGGAATGAAAAATAAAGGCAAAAAAAGCAGTGCTAAAAATTATAGAAGTCCTGCCCATTTTGGTGATTGTTCATCTTTGTTCAGCAGCAGTTCTAATTAGAATGAGATTACTCTGATAATGTGTCTGACTGACTGTACAGTCTTATGCTGTATTAACCTCTCCCATCAACTGCAGTCTCCTGCCATTTCCTACAAATCTTGGAGGAGTAGTTGATTATATAATGATGGAAAAATAATCCTGCATATCACTTTAGGATCTCCTAGACGGAATATTGGTAAGCTTAATTAAGGGTTCAGTAGCTGTGAGTGCTTGACTACCTGCTTCGCCAAGTCAGAATTTGATTTTTGAAGTTCATGAGTCACTAAATCATGTTCAATTTGAAAGAAGAGAAGAAAAAGAGGGAAATATATAGATATATAAAAATATATTTCATAATTATTAAGAAAATTATTTGCATCAAATTGATTTATAGAACAAGAGTCTTCACTTCTTTGTATATATGATATCTAGGTCAAGCATATATTTTTATTATTTTATTTTTATTTACTTATCTAGCAAAATACATAAGCCTTCTCATTTATATCTTGGAGGCCAGCTTTTAAAAGATTTTGTTAATTTATAAGGGGAAATAGATTGTAACAGCATAATTCTTGGAATTTTTAATAACCAAATGTATTAGTTTTAGGCATTACCAAAAAAAAGGTAGGTAAGCAGAAGTCACTTTGTACTGTATAGGTACATGGTATAGGTCAAGACCCATGATGTCTGTTTTTCTCTATAAAGAAATAAGAAGCTGATCTGTGGTGTAGAAAAGTTAGAAATAAAGATAAACAATTTAAACTGCATTTACTTCTTATCTACCACTTAAAGTATATACGAAGTATATATTTATGCTTACAAATGGTATAAAACTTTGTTCTCTCTCTAACTAAATGAGCATTTCAGGTTTGTTTTTTATTGAGACTGGTTGAGTAATATGACACTGGTCAGCAGGATTTGGAATCACCCATAGTCTCTGCCTTAATCTGAAATTTACTTTGTTTCTAGTGTAAATACTCCCCCTTTTTTTTTGTGCTGTATTTATCTTACCAATTTAGAAATTCTGCAGCTAGAAAAAGTGACATTGAAGAGTAGTATTACTGGGTTGGTAAATACTTCTTGAGAAAATAGAGGCTGGCGGGCTAAGGGGGTATAAACATCCTCCTTATAAAGCCTTCTCTGTAAT